AGGAATTTTCGGTGAAAACACTGAGAGTGCCATAGCTTACCTACCCATGACCTAAGCTTTAGAAGAAGTAAGTCAACCTTTTAGAATGGATTTAAAAATGTATAAAAGCTGAGAAACCACCAAATGGTTGGTAGTTAGACAAATGACTGAGTCAGGACAAGGGGATATGGTCTTCTGGGGAATCTTGGAGGAATAAACAGTAACACTCAGGCCTGAGGTTATGTGCCCCTGCCACTAAAGCAGCACTTTCTGTACACTGTGACAAGAAGGTTGGAAAAAGTAAGATTCTCAAATCTTCATGTACAATGCAACCTTATACAGGTCTACTCAGAAAGAAATCTCACAGAGTACAATGAGTAAGGATACATATATGACTGCAGCCCAAATGAGAGAACAATCTTCTTTGGATTTATCTTTGGTTTATTTTGTGATATGGAATCTAGGCAATGAGTCAACCTGTCCAATGCCATTGTGGTGTCTGGAATTAAGCCTTCATTAGTGAATTCCTCTTCTCTGCCCTCTTCCTTGTGAAGATGGCAAGGTCAGAAATAGAAGCTGGTGTCACCACAAAATCTTATAGAGGTCACTGTATTTTCACTCCTACAGATTTTGTTCAGTTCCCTCCCCTGAAGAGCTCACAGTTTCTATCTTTAGATGCTTACATGGCCCCAATATATCTGTATCCTAGTACATCAAGTCTTTAACATATCCATCCCCAAAAATATCTTACCAGGCAGAGGAAAAAATTATGTATGAAAAAGTACAGGTTCCCAAGACTACCAGTCCAGATTTTTAAATACAGAAGCATCCTAAGTACATTTATATAGTTAAGTCCCACTGAATTCCCTAGTAAGTATAAGACTGCACCTTTAAGTACACTGAAACATTATTGATTTCAATGGAATTTCCTTCCAAGGAAAAGCTTTTAGGTTCACAACCACGGAAGTGTCCAGCACAGCAAGGTAACAAATTCAGGCCTTTTCCATACAAGAACTTTCCTTTTCACTAATGGAATTATTTACTACAAATATACACTGCTGGCACTGCTTTAAAGATTATTTAGTTAGTTTTACTTCTATGCCACCCCATAACCTGAGGGTTCTCTAGGCAACCTGCTAAACCAGCATATTAAAAAATGAACTGATTGGTTGAACCACTTGGATGAGTGGCTGCTGCCCATAAATATTAGTATAAAGGGGACCTAAAGAGATCTATTCTATATTCATACAGTGCCCACATCTTTCCTGATCTTATTCTGCACCCAACTACTTTGGAAGGAGGCAAAAAGTGTCATGAGGTACATTGCATGAACACCAAGACATGCAAGTTCCCTTTGTTACAAGTTAACAAAAGCCTTGAATATTTCCTTAAAAGACATGTCAACATTTAATCAACAGGCCTCCAATGCAATCTACTTTACACATCTCCAACCCGCCAAACTGAAGCCTTCATTTCCCCTGCATTCTAGCAAGAAGCCTATGTGACCCCACTAAGTTGCAACTTGGAAATTACCAGGCTTGTAACAAGCAAAGAATCATATCCAGACAAGCTATATGCAATCATACCAACAAGCAAATGAAACTGCCCCTTCCTCAAGAAAAAATGGATCTAGCAAATACTGCAGTACTGCATATAATCCATGCAAATCTACTCTTTTCCAAAAGCACTGAAAGATATTCCACGAAATTGTAACTTTCATCCACACTCCCCAGAAAGCACAGTCTGAAAAATAGTTAGACAATTGGGATTCTTCTGTGACAACACTGCTTAACAACCTCAACAAGGAAAGAAGTTCATCATTGCCAAAGCAGAACAAAACACTTAACGCTGTTGGGAATTAACAAGTTCCAGCATAGGCATGTACAACTTGTAGCCCACCAATGTAAAGAGAGTAATACATCCATATAGGCAGCAGTTTTAGCAACTCACTTTACCCATGGTGAGTAACAAATATGTAGCTGGTAACTTGTGTTCAGCTTGGCAGGTTTCAAAAGCTAAGGGCCTACTTTAGTTCAAAGCTACTTTTAAGGCAACTATGCTGCTGATGAAGGGAACAATATATTCACAGCACCAATTCCTGCAGCATACAACCATCATACCAATTATAGGCCTACCCTTCATATTTGCGTGATGTGATTAATTGCTCCCAATATATTATGCCTATAGCCAAGAATCCAAAAATTGGCTTAGGAAAAATAAGGAAGCCTTAAGAGCCAAATCAGAGTAAAGCCCACAATAGAACACCATGCAAGATGAAAATGAACCAACCAACAGAGCACAAATGCAATGAATTTGTGCATGAACAGTTAACTTACTAGGATGCTTAGTTTTAAGAGCAACTGGTAAGCTGATGACAATGTAAAGCAAGTACAACAATAAAGAAGCAATGAAAAACAGAATTAAAATTGTCCTAGTATGGTATAAGATTGAAAATGTGATAATAAGTGACTGACATCACAAAGTAATAATGGCATGAAATCCTGACCAATTATTCCAGACTTTAAAGTGACCTACAGGTTCAATATACTTCAACAAAAAGCCAAAAACCACCGAAGAAAAATCAATGCATCCCAATTTGCTAAAAAGACTGGTCTTCCCCAGCTTGTTCAGTTACACCTCTGGCCGCCCCCCACAAACACTATAAGTGATAGATGAACCAAGTCATTACATTACCATTAACAGTGCACAGCTCTGGTGCAAAAGTAAACAGAAACATCTTTTGCTTTCCAATACAATTTGTTCTGAGCCTTGGAGTAACTTTTTAATGGACAGACTACTCCCATGTACACAGTTTCTTAACACACAGAAAGGCTATCAATCAGCTGAGAATACCTGTATTTGGCTCTGTTTCTTTTTTTTCTATTTCTCAAAAAGAGAGTGAGGCTGTTTTGAGCAAGGCAAGATTACTGAATACGTTAACAAGACCATGATTTTCATAGAAGAGCAGTGATGCAGTCAACTAATTATTTCTTCAACATTTACCAGTTAAGGGCACTGTTTATCATTCTGACTGAGGGTCATAATTTTCATAACGTAGTACTGTTTTGACTGTGATAACTGTGCTAAAAATATAATAAAATATGAGAAACACAGATTTGCAGAGGAAAAGGTTTAAGTGGTCTTTCAAGCAGTACATGAAAAAAGATGTCTGAGAACTGTTGCTCTACATCAAAGACTCTCTTCCTTAGGGGAAAAAAGTCATTGAAGTGACTTAATGAGAATGAAAAAAATTAAAATGAAGAAAAATGACACAAAAGAGGTGTACTTACAGTGAACCACCAAAAGTGTCTATGAACCTGAGGGACTACTGCATAGTTTGTGCGTGTGTGTGTGTGTGTGTGTGTGAGTGAAGAAAAAGTAAACTCAGAAAGCAAAAGATAGCAGATAAAGGGAAGCACTTTTTTCTGCATACAAGTAACTAGGAGGTCACGGTACACCAAACCACTCAAGAGGTTAGCAAGATTTCAGATAAAGTCACATGCGCAGGGTATATCCAAAGTTGTGACAGAGATAAGAATCCACTTCCAGGTATGATCAAAAACACACCATGACATGAACTATTTTCTACAGAAAATCTCATCCACATTCTCTCTGTAGCAGGCTTCCCATCCCCTTCAGAAGTTTTCAACACTGTTCTTTGAGAGAAGGCAACCACAGGTTAAACACAAACTGGACAGTGAAAGTGAAAGAAAGTGAAAGAAAAGAAAGGAAGTGGGGGAGAATCTAAATAAATTAGCTGTTCTCTTCATTATAAATTTACTATTTTCTTTCTATAAATATATGGAAAATCATTGTCTGCTTTTGAAAATAATATGCTTTCAGAGATCAGCCATATATTTTGCATTAAAGTTCAACTCAGTAGCTTTCAGCAAGTTTTCAAAATGTAGGTACACTTTGGAATAAAAAAATGACCATTAGTATAAAGGGCAAAAATGTAAATCTGTTACTGGAGATGCTAGGCCTTAACCTCACTTTCGTTACCTCCAAATTTCATTACCCTGCAAATGCTGGCATGCCTTTATTTGCAAAATTAGATATATGTTCTCTCCATCCCAAAAATAGGTAACAAAAACAACCATCAGTATAACATAGTAAGGTTTCACAAAAATAATCTCTGTCCCCCCCCCCACCCTTTACAAAATTAATCCTGGATTTCAAGGAACAACCCAAATGATAGTCTTGCTTCAAAAGGTTGTTCAAGCTTGGGTTTTACAAAATCCACAGCAGGACTGGGAGGCTGCCACTGAGCACATCTCCCTGCTCTTGCTGACTGAACTCAACCCACAAATGGTATCAACAGCACTTTCACGGTAAATCTCCATTATCAACTTCAGAACAATATTCTGCAGCCATCTCTCTAACACTACACTAGATGAAAATGCTTTTCACCTGTGGAAACCTTGGAGTCATGAGAATCCCAAAGGTCAGGAGATCTTTCATACCCCAACCTAACAGTACAGAACAAAATGTCAGACTCATCACACACTAAGAGTTGACAAAGAATAAAGAATATGCCCCAGATCCAGCAATCAGCATGCCCATGGCTTCATCTGTCCCTCTTGCCCCACAAATGAACCTCTCAAAACCCACACCAAAGCATAAACAGGTCTTAAAACAGCTATATTATCAAGATTCCATCACTATCAGGTGCAGCACCGGGAGTGGTGAGGAAGGATAAGTTTCAGATGGCCAATGGAACTGTCCATTTCCTCCCTTGCCCAAACTTAAAATTATACTCAAACACCATCCATTCTTGGTTTTACACCTGTTGCACTGGTAGAGCAGGAAATACTACCTTCTCTACAGTATCTGGGAGAATGGAGCCTTTGCCTCCACACAGATTCAGTCATGAAAGGAATAACACAAGAGAGATTATCTGCACCCTAAGGGCCTCCTCCGAACCAGAGCATGCCTGCAAACTCCCAAATAACGATAACTCTTTTACCCAAACAACAAAGTGACAGGAATTCCGATTCTTACACTTAGTCGGCCGCGCTTACCTTAGCGGGAGGGAGGGGGAGAGCAGGGGGACCTGTCCCCCCCCTTCCCTCGCTGGCTATCCTGGTGCTTCTGTTAATGTTGCCGCCGCCGCCTTCCTCCTCCTCCTCTTCTTCCTCCTCCTTGAGGCGGGAAGAGGCTGGGCTGAAGGGACCTGCTGTGCCCCTTCTTCCTCTGACGTGAGCGACTGAGCGTAGGTAGAGGCGGCAAAGGGGGAGGGGGGCAAAGAGAAAAAGAAGGAGGAAGTTCTGGGGAGCAACAAGCGTGGGGGACTGGAAGGGGACAGTGGGAGGTTGAGGAGCAAGGGGAGCGGGTCGTGCTCGGTGAGGGAGCTGAGCACAGGAAGCAGATGGTAGAGGGCTGCGAAGGTGGCAACACCTGTAGGTGCAGGGACGGAAAGGGGAAGCGTGAAATGTCCAGAAGCTCCTACGGCCAGAGAGCTCTGGGGTCGATAGGGCAGGATGCGGTGCGGGATGGGGGGCGGGGGAGGTCTCAAGCTGGGCCCAAATACTTGACTAGGTGAGAGGCCGTGGGAGGTGGCGGCAGCGGCAGCAAATGGTGGCACTGGCTCCTTCGGAGAAAGCGGGGGAGAAGGCAGGCAGGCTGGATGGGGCCTGGAGTGGCAATAGTGGCGGCCAGGGGACTTGTGAGGGACAGGTAGAGCCGCCGGTGTGGAGTAAGGGAAGAGGAGGGATAAAAGAAAAGAAGGGAAGCGGGGAGGGGGGGTAACAAAACAAAAAGAGAAAGGGGGGGAGGAGAAAGGGGGGGAAGAAAAGAAAAAAAAAGAAACAGAAAAAAAGGGGAAAGCAGCTGCCGGCCCCTCCCCCTGCCTGCGCGCGCGTGTTGCGTCACCCCCTCGTACGCGGCGTGGCGCCGTACCCGCGACGCAACGCGCCGCTGCCTCGCCCCGCCCCAGTCTCGGTTGCCATTGGCAACTCGGAGACGCACCCGCCTGCGGGACCCGCCCCCGAGGCGGCTTAGCCTCGACTCTTAAAGGGAGCTAAGCGCTAGGAGAGGGAGGAGAGCATGATCAAGGGGCGCGGAAGCCGTAAGGTCTGTATGTTTCTTGTAATGGAGTTCCTCATGAAATAAGCAAGCAGCGTGGTTCCCCTAATACGCGGACAGACCTCCCTGCAACCACATTAGTCGCCCCGCTTGGAGGGAAGGCTGTTGCTTTCCGGTCATGTGGCCTTTAATTCTTTATACCTGCACGTCAGGATATCCTCTATGTGTGTGAAGAGTGAAATGAAGAAAACAACTAATGACTCCGCTCTAATTTAGGATCTACATCTTGGGTGTGAGCTGCTTTAAACACAGTGAAAAGTGCATTCCCCCCCCCCCCACGTCGTAGGACGTTGTACAAGACACTTGTCTAAAGATGTGCGGTTGCAACTAAACGGTTGGAACCGCGGTGAGAGCTAAACCAGGTCTTGTTTCCTTCCATATAGTTTGATTTTTCTAGTAGATAAGGACCTTTCCTGTCCCTTTACTCGGGACAGTTTGCTCCGGAAAACCCACTGTTGCTGAAGTTGTCACCTCCATACGTGTATTTGTAAAAAGAGAAAACGTCAAGGAGAAATCATAGGTGCCATGACCCTTGGATGACTATTGGACAGATGCCATCCTGCCTTCCAGAAAGTTCAGGATTCCCAAATCTGTCTCTTTATACTTTGAAATTCTGAAGATTGAATTACAGTACTGTACTGTATTTAGAATCTGGGTTTTAACAGCAATTGTTACACCATATTCAGAGAAAACAGAAGAAGTGTTGCCTATCTGGATACAGCAGCAGCAAAGGTCAAGTTTCAGACAGCTCCTGCAAGGATTTTCTCCATGGCTGTACCATGCAGCTTAAAGATGAAGCAGGATTACAAATAGCCTGGCCTGGACTCAAAACCCATTAATGTGTGGAAAGTCAGGAGTGGCAAATGGGCAGTAATATGCAAGCGTCAGTGACAGCAGTGGGTGTCACTTGCCCAGAAGTTCAGAGGGTGTCATTCGAACTTAGGAAGTTTGCATCAGATCCAGCTGCTAATGGTGCTCACGCTAATTTGGGATTGCATCCAGGATCTGCCTTCCATAAGAAGGGCTCTGCTTGCAGAAGTTTCTTGCACCCAGTTTATTTATTTGGGTGTTTATATGCTGCCTATTTTGCTAGCAACATTCCTAGGTGGCTCACAGTATTAAAAGAATTAACAATAAAACTTTAAAACACTAATAAACCAGTGAATCTATAAATTATTACACATTTAAAATTCCAGTCAGATTCATTTTCCCACTCTTCCCCACACACCACAGCTCACTCACATCAGGGGCCCTGAGTCTCTTGTGCACCACTTTCAGGGGACAGACACAGTGGATTGCCATGGGAGTGGAACTTCATTTCAACCAGTGCAGTTGATCCAACTTAAATCTGAATTCAAACCTTAGTGAACCTTTATGTGCATGTGCATCATTTTAAATAATGTGCAAACCACAACTTTAATTTACCAAAAGACAAAACCAAGCAATTTTGCCAGTGAATCTGACTTAAGCTTCAGGTATCAGTGTTCAGCCACCTGCTTGGGCACTATCTGAGCTGACATCAGCCAATATTTACAGATGTGAAAGAGTTCAAAAGAGCTTTACCTAGAAATTAGTCCCATTTGATACATACTTTTTACATTCTTCTTTTCTTCTTAGATCTGACTTTGATACCTACTAACTCACTAGTGTCATTTGTCAGCTGTCATCCTATGGAGAAATAAAACACATCCCAATTACAAGCTGCAGAGATCCCACTTTTAACGCTCCTCAAGATTGTAATGTGCTTAGGAGTTAGCAGTCCTGCTTGCAAAACAGGAATCCTGGATCCAGAGAAGCAAAAGAACTTTAATATTGAGTTAACCAAGCAGAATATCCTTTTTAAATTTCACCTATAGGAGAAGCCCAATATCACTCATCCAGAGAAAGTGGAAATAAATGGTAAATGATCTCCCAATAGACAGATGTAAGGAGTGGAATCCCATGATGATCTATACTTATTTTAAAATTATCTGGAATTATTAGGAGTAAGCAGTGAAATGGTCAAGTTGGCTGATGGCACCAATAGTTAAAAATGGATTGCTCCAAAAGGACTTGTCTAGTGGGCATGAAAATGACAAATGCAGTTCATTGTAGTGGACTGTGTGGACATCTTGGGGCAAAATAAAAATCTGAATCTCAAACATAAACTGATGCAATCTGAACTAGAGGTGACTGACAAAGAAGGAAACTTTATGGTTGTGGTGGACAGCTTAATGTAAATGTTAACCCAGTGTATAGTAGCTGTGAAAAAGGCAACCTCCATGTTAGGCATAGTTAGTAAAGGAATTGAAAATAAAACTGCCAGTATCATACTGTCTTTATATGCATCATAGTGAGATTAGACCTAGAATACTGTGTACACTTCTGGCCACCACATCTGAAAAAGGATGTTGTTTTTTTTATTTGTGAATGTTCCAATTTCCAAAAAATGGAGAAAAGTGCAACCAAAAGGATCAAAGGGCTTTCAACTAAAGACATAGTTTCTTCCTTACCACTAGAAAAATCTCTTCCCTCTCCTGTCCAGATATGGGAACTGCTTTGTGTTCATCCTATATAAAAACTAAATGTATCAAATAACTTTGTGATGGCAACATTTTATATAATTATTTATTAAAACCGTTCTGAGCAATAAAACATCAGTACAGATTTAAAGAGCATTCAAGCCACAGTAAAAGATAAGCAAAATAATAAAGTGTGAAAAAAATAAAAACTTATGAAAAGTCTGCTGGGTCCGTTCTAACCCTTGGCACAGAGTTCCACAATTAGCGTGCTGCTACTTAAAAGGTCCTGTCCTTATTCCGACCAAATGCATCTGCCTTGGTGTTAAAACACAGAGCATGACCTCAAAAGATTACCACACCTTCATGTGGACAATGTCGCACGTCATGACAACCCGTGCTGCAAATAAGCAAGGTGAATTGTTCATGAAATAACGCACTAGACAATCACTGTGGGATATTTTTCTTTCCCCCTTTCACCTTCCTGTGGGTATCCCAGCAGACTCTGCAGCAAGGCCTATCTTGTCTCCTCTTCTTGCTGACTGCAGTCTCTATTTCTCTGCAACTTCTTCCCTTCCCTGTTTTTGCAGTCCCCAAGTTGACAGCCTCTCCAAGCCACCCAAACAGCACATTAGAGGGACTGTTATTGCTTCATCTGTTCATTTTAAATTACACTCTCAATAAGAGCACATATTTTCACATAAAAAATTGGTGTCAGGCTTGCATGAATCTGAAGTGGCCAGCCTCACCTGGACAATCACTTAGAGCGGTCTGCTGCCAAAACACAGCAGGGTCCCACCATGGGCATGGACCCAGAGAGGTTGCAAATATCTTTACTTCTGCACTTTGACAGCAGGCACCACCCAGGAGATTGCCCAGGTGAGGCTGACCATTTTTGGAACTACAAAGCATGCACTTCCGAGTCTGACTCGATTTTTAATTTTAAAAACATGCACACACATGTCTTGAAAAAAAAAACCTGAAAAAGACTGATGAACCAATGAAAGCCCTTCCAAGGTGAGGAAGAGGCATAGCTGTTAAAATGGGGATTGCTAAAACTGACTTTGTAGCAGCTTACACAGTCTTCAAAAATAAAAGTTTAAAAATGTGTGGTGGAGGGGGGCGGGGAGCTGCAGGTATGGCCGGAATAATAAGAGAGAACTATGGCCAGAATAAAAGAGCCAGTGTGGAGTAGTGGTTAAGAGCATGGGACTGGGACTCAGAGGATCTGGGCTCTAGTCCCCGCGCAGCCATGGAGCCAACTAGGTGACTTTGGGCCAGTCACAGACTCTCAGCCCAACCTACCTCACAGGGTGGTTGTTGTGGGGATAAGATGGAGGAGGAGATGTAAGCTGCCTTGAGCCCTTTGTAGGAAAAAGGCAGAATATAAATCTAAAAATAAATAAAATATATAATAATAATAATCACAAGGGGAGTGAACCAATACCAACTGCCTTCAAGTGGCACTTTGGGGCAGCTGGCACCAGTGTTTTCCGCTGAACTCTATCGCAAGAGTAGCATGCATTTTTTTGCCACTCTTCCCATGGGGCTATGTAGCTAATTCCCCATATCCACAGTGAAGTCAGTCTGGCAAGAAAACACATCATGGATGCAACATCCCTTGGTACAGCCCATGGGTTCTTGGGATGGCTCATTCCACATGTACAAGCCGTTCTGGAAAATCACTCTAGGTTCACACAATACAATGGTTGTGTCATGCAAACCAAGTCAATGCTTTGGATCCCCTGGTCCACAGCATAAGCTTTATAGGAAATAATCGGCACTTTGAATAGGTCCTGGAAGCCAGTTAGAAGCCAGTGCTATTTAAACAACACCAGGATAATCCATTCAGAAAAGTGAACACCAGAAATATTCTGACTGTATCATTATGCATCAGCTTGAGTTTCATTATGCATCAGCTTGCAAGATACACTCTGTAGCTTGCTATTCAATGAAGCTTATTGTGTGAAGTCACCTTCTCTGAGACACATCAGCATACCACAATTTTTCAACTAAAATTACAATATTTTTTAGCAATGTGTGGCATTCAAGTAAAAGTTGTTCAAAAGGGATACTAAGGGTACAACCCTATGCAGGATTTAGAAAGAAGAAAGGCCGATTATTCCCAGCATTCCCTAGTCCACATTTCCCATCAAAGAAGAGCCAGTGTGGCATATTG